AAGTATTCATTCGAGCCACGTATGACAGACAATCACTTTATGATGTTCCGCTCCGTCGGGGTTCTCTCGCTTCCTCCTCAAGCTGGACCTCAGGTTCTCGGGTGTTCCGACGCTCGAGCAATGATGTCCGATACATGGACGACTCGCTCGTCTCACCTCGGAGAGTTTGTCTTGAGTGGCTAAGGATTCAGCTGTCCTCAGAAAAAACTTCACTATTCCGGAAACCTTCAGACATGAAGAAATTTTGGCCAGAGATCTGTCGAAGACAAGGAATCAAGCCAGTGACATTGATCTAGGGTATCAAGTCAGGATGAGTGAGGGAAGAATGATGCCTGACTTCCCGCCATAACTAAATGAACTTTATGGATGACTAATTGCGCGGAGGAAAACCCACACTGCGCACTGATATTGAGGCTTAAGGTGGCTTCTATAATACCGTAGTCTTATTGGCTGGTTTTGGAGTGATGCCGGAAAGGGGGGCGCCGGGCCCCACAGATGCCAAGGCTTCTGCTGTGCTCCGACGTCTTAGAGCCTACTCTCGCAGCTAAACAATTTCCAGCCATTGCCTAGCAAGTATAGCTGACTGGGGGAATTGCACTGCTCTGGAATGCCATCAGAAGAACAACATCGAAAAGGCACCGTGTCACCGTCACAACCCGTTGTGTTCACAAGACCGGGCCGCTTTTGCTTTAAGGATTCAAATCAAGGACACTTCGATCATTCGTTTATGGCAATTGAATTCAATTTCCAGGGACCTAAAAACTTCTTGCGCTCCAAATACCCTCAGATTCCCAAAGGGAAAGAGTCAAGCTTTGTGAAATGAATCGCGTGGTACAACGAAGATCACGGAGTCTATAGTAACTTCCGGTGATCCCGAACGAGATATCCATGCAGAAAACTCAATAATTATACGACTCCAGATATCCGCATAATGGCAGGATTAACTAAAGGTTTAGAAAGAAGTGAAGTGTGAGGGCGAAGACAATGGGGCCCGATAGGATCTTAATGGAGGCGGCCCCAGCTGTAACAGGAAGCTCGGGCGTTGCTGTCGCGCCTGGGTCGCTCACCGTCACTAGCGTCGTGGGGACGGGAGTCTGTGGATCCTCGCACTCCCCCGGAGCATAAGAAGGCTCATCCACACCCGAAGGGCAGTGCCAGTGGTCATCGTGAGGGGTACAGCCGTGGTCGTCACAGGTCGGGAGACCACCTGTTGGCTGCGGGGCAGATGTCGTTGCCCTGATCGGACTACACTCTCCAGGGGCATAGGGAGGCTCCTCGACGTCAGAAGGGCAGTGCCAATGGTCATCGTGAGCGGTACAGCCGTGATCGTCGCAGACCGGGAGACCACCTGTTGGCTGCGGGGCAGATGTCGTTG